CCCAGTACAGCATTAGCTTGATAGAGGAAAACCAAACAGACCCAGAAAGAGACATGGAGCAGAGATACCTTGGGGCTATGCTGGGTCACTGAGAGTCACCATGACAGAGAGAAATTACAAAGGCAGCCCAATGCAGAGCCTCCAAGGCATGCAGGTATGGTCACTGCTGCTACTACCAGACCCTGCTGCAAGCAGAAGCAAAGTTGTGTATTTGGAGACAGGTTCCCCTCCCATCATTCTGACTGCATCATGCCAAATTGAAAACGGCCAGCTGGGGGTTACAGAGCTGGGGGCAGGGGGCTGAAGAGCTCCACTAGGGAAACACAGACACCAACCCTCAGGGAAATGGAGCCAAGAGAGGGAAACCTCTGCAAGTACAAACCTTACTTTGCTACCTGTATTTGTTACTCTACGGCAATCAGCGCAGCACACATTAAGGCTTTATTGCAGGTCCCTTCAGCATCAGGAAGAGATAACTGTGACAAGAAGGAACAAGAGCTGTGCTCCATACAACATGAGCCCAAGACCTAGCAGCCTGATGCTCCACCATCTTCCTACCATATGTATAGTTTTTATTTAAAAAAAAAAGGGCTTTCAGATTCTCTGTCAATTTGCATTTTTTGAATTGACAAGCATGACTATAATTTTTTTTTTTTTAAAAAAGGTCTTCATAAGGTTACCGCTCAGTATTATAAAGTATAACTCAAACCAGTTAAAAAACCTCCCCCAGAAAACGTGCTGCGAAACGTGCACAGCTAATTGCTGCCCTTGGCTTCCAGCATGCTTTCAAGTAAGTAATTAAACTAGAGGATGCACCTCTAGCGTGCTCTGTGCATCAGCTAGTGCTGCATGTACCTGTGTCATGTTTAGTGCTGCAGTCACACAGCAGGCGCTCCTGGCACGTAAGAACTAGACAGCAATCATGGATATCATGGCAATTCCGTCCAGGTGACGGAATCAAGAATCACAGAATATCCCAAGCTGGAAGGGACACACAAGGATCTCAGAGCCCAGCTCTTGGCTCCACACAGAACCACCATAAGATCAAATCCTGTGTCTGAGAGCACTGTCCAAACATTCCTCGAACTCCAGCAGCAGCAGCTGTGACCACTGCTCTGAAGAGCCTGTTCCAGTGCTCACACTCTGCTGAGGAACCTCTTCTTAACACTCAATCTCAATGGCCAGGAGGGACAGGCCTGAGACAGGTACAGCCTGAGAATGGAAAGAGATCTTCCCCCCACTGCAGACCTGAGGTGAGGGGATAACCCTCCTGGTCCTCTCCTGACCTCTGCCAGAGAAAACATCTTCTCTGGGGCTGCTTGTTCTCCCTGTGAGGAATCTCACTGCATTTTATTTGACCTCAGTAGTCTGTCATGATCATGCCACCCTAACACTACATTTTCTTGAGGTGAGTATAAACCGTTGTTGACATTTCCCCAATCCAAGGGTTGCTAGCAGCAAGGAAGGTCGGCTCTGCCTCTGATTTAAACAAGTGCCATGTGTGCTGTACCATACCTGCAAGAAATACCATGAGTTTGGACAATTTCACCCACATTTGATACTTTAATCCAATTTGTCACACTCGCCCCCATGTTCATCACATTAATCTCTTCTAAAATTACTCTCCAGTCCTCTGAATGAAAATACCTCATTCCTCCACTCCAAACAGTCATAAACATAGATCCTTGTAAAGTAAGAAAGAGGGTGAGGGTAGGGCTGTATTTCTCTATTTTTGCACTGCAGTGATGCATTTCAAAATAGCTTAGCAGTAGTAGTCATACTTACCGATTTGGTATACATTCCTCCTGCTGCTATTCTTAAGAAATTTAGCACTTTTGGGAATGTGTGGATTATTTTTTCCCCTCCTTCAGCGGATTGCTCTACGTGAAGTTTGACCTTTTCTTTCTTTTTTTTTTCTTTTTGTTTTTTTTTGGTTTGTTTGTCTTAAATAAATGAGGGCACTCTTTCTTTCCTTTCCTGCAACACCGTTCTTTCAGTGCAAAGCTGCCCAGGGCTTGAAGAAATCCTCATCTTCCAACCTCACCTGGAAACGAGCAGCAATTTTTCCCATTGCTAGTGCCTGAAAGAAGTCCAAGAAGTCTCAACGTTGTGTGAAGTGAATGGGGATGAAGAAAAATTTAAAAATACATATTTAAAAGCACAAAAAAACAGCCTTTCAACTGTCATGAAAGCTCTTGTACGGAGATCTACAGCTCAGATTAAGATTCTTCACTGCTCTTTACACATTATTTATGACTATCTATCTTCTTGACTTGCTGTATGTTCTTGGATTTAGAAAGTAAGAAATGCAGGCTGTCACACAGGAGCTACGCTGCCAGCAAGCAGCCCCTGAGACCACACAGAGTTGCATGACTTAGGTACAAAGTGCATTAGCAAAAAGGCAGCACGCTTACAAGCTAAGCTGTCAGGCTAAACAGGCTTCAGATCAACCAGGAAAAGCTTGCCGCTGAAGTTCCCTGCTATGACCATCCACTGAGCACCTTAAGCACGCACCTCCTGTAGCACACTGATTGTGTTGGGCCAAAGCACTGGGAAGCCTTGTGCAGCACCAATGTGTTCCTAACTAAAGGAGATGAGTTTTCCCAGCCAATTATCAACTGGAGGCAATTCACCTGGGCAAAGATTAGTTTGCAGGCCATTTTATCAGCTTCCAGGGTCTGTAGCTAGGTGAACATGGACTTCACATGCACAGGAGGCTGCTTCTGATTTCAGCAAAGCCTCTAACAGCAGCAAAGCTCCATGGACCTCAGCAACACAGCACAAGCAAGAGGAAATTCCTTCCTGCTCCTCCCTGAGGTACTGAGTAAAACTTTTCCCAGTGTACACTTTTTTTCCTGAACTGTATTGATTTTTTTTTATTGCTCCCACATTTACTTTCCCAGGAAGCTTTCACAGGCCTGTCTGTGGATGTACATCACTCACTCTTTTCTTTTCAGCTTATCAGAAGCGTGGTCCAGTACTGAAAACAATTGTACAGTGCGTATTTGTGCAATTGAATGGAACAAGAAGAAAAAACTACTTGTATCGAGATCCTTCAGAGTTTCAGAGAGTGTTCACTAATTTGAATACCTGCTTGGCTACACTGGATAGAAAGAAAGTGATATGTAGGCTAAAATCAGAAAGTTTACAGGCACAGTGCGCAGCCTGGGCCAACACAGGCTTATGTTGTAATCCACTTTCTTTGTCTTTTTCAATAGATATATTGTTTTGGGTTGTGCTTCTCCCCCAATCCTGCTGAAGATGCAGAAGTGAGGGGCAGTTAACACTTCAGCAGAGGAGGGCCTAATGCAAATAAATAAGTAGAAATCACCAAAGACACTTTTTTTTTTTTTTTTTTTTTTTTCAGAATTGGAACTGAACAATCCTAAGATTGGAGGGATGAAGGGATGGATGCTCCCCAGCAGTAATACCTGCCTCTGACACCCAGCTCCATGAGACCTTATCCCCCAGGACCACCTCAGCCAGCACAACTGGAAGAGCTATCACTGAGGAAAGGGGGAGGTGTGGGGTGTCTGAAATAGCAGCACAGCCAACGAAAGCTGAAAGTGCAACATCTAACTGCTCCTAGCTGGACTCTCAGCTCCATTTTGGCTTCTGTGTTGTCGTGGCTGGAGGCTGATAGACATTTCCTTTGCTGGAGCATCGGGTGCCCCTATACCACGCAGCAAGCAGGAGGAAAGCTGCACAGAGATGTCCCTGACTGGGGACACTGTACCACAACACCAGATGCCAAAACACTGTTACCATCTTTCCAGCGTGCCTGACCTCTGTGACCACATGGACAACAGCCATCATTCAGCATGGCAGCTCGGTTCCAGGGAAGGAAAGGGCTCCTGGCACCACCAAGCATAACGGTTTGTCAGCATTTCCTTTCCCCATCATAATCTCATATTTAGAAGTCTGAGAGTCACCCTACTAATTTCCAGCTGGGATTCTGAACAGAAGCCGGAGAGAAAAGCAAGTTTCTCAATGCCACAAACTAAACAACAGATAAGCTGGGACAGATTTAATATGTGAAAATTACGAAATTACAGCAAAATCTTCACTGCATTCTTACAGAGAGTTTAGCAACACAGTTCTTTGGAAAAGAGGCACCCCAGCACTGCTGCGTAATTACTTACAAAAAAACACCCCTGGCTTTGCAGCTGTGCAACAGAAGTACCAGCCTAGTTTGTTTCAAAGGTCAGCTTGGCCACTGACCACACTGCAAACAGATCATACGCAGTGTCTCTAAACTCAGTGAAGTCTGGGCTGGCTGGCTGCCTGCAGGAAGGTTTCAGCCCTGCCCAGCAGACGCCCTGCCACCACCACAGAAGGAAGAGGCAGCCGGTCATATCAGCATGGCACGGGGACAATCCAAGTAACTGCCCCACATTAAGCACTCTTGCAGATGAGCAGCTCCTCCAGCTTAGCAAATACTCAGCGAATGCTTGCTCATTATTGACCTGTGTCACCCTCATGAGATGAGCTGTGGCATTCCACGCTCATTATACAGCCCAAGGCATGCTCTGAAGTCTTTTGATCTCCCCCTTAATGAGGAGTAGGCACAAGGCAGAGCAGACTGCAGCCCCAACACTGATGTTAAGGAAGTCACAGCCCCAAGCAAAGCATTTTCGCTTCTGGTAGGAAAGAAAAGTCTGTGACTTGTTCAAAAGGCTCTCACTTTTTGCAGAACCAATCCTTGATCATGGCAACAAGCCCTAACTAGCCCACTGTGACCAACTATAACCAATAAGCACAAATACACATGAACTTAACCATCATTAGCTCATCATTTGTCAAGGACTTGAATAGCTTTATCGAGAGACAGTCACCATACCTTCCAACATCAGGACTCAATCAGGGATCCACCACAAGGAGTGGGAATGGAAGGCAAGAAGGAAGAAGGTACTAGGATCACAATGGGGCACTACAGCACCTAAAGCCTAGAGGTACTGACCAAGGGAAGCTGGTCCAACAGGACAAATGCTGCCTCTTACCTGTTCTCCAGCAGCGTCATGCAGATGACCTCCCGCACACCTGGGTTGTTGGCTTTCTCAATGGAGCAGCTCTGCAGGTTCCACGTAGCCACCCTCAGCACCGGTCTGCCATCCCTCAGCCCCCCGAACATCTCCACAGAGGGGCGAGTGGAGATGATCTGGGTTGGGCCCCCAGGGGGAAAATCCAAGTCCTCACTCTGGAGGCTGAGAGAAGTGGGGCTGGGATGAGGCTTGGCTGTGAAGTTGAGGCCGCCGTTGGTGTTCGTTGAAGGGGGTCGGGACCTCTCTGCAAAAATCTGATGCCGGATTTTGTCTAGGAAAGAGGAATTGATGCAGTTCATCCTCACCAGGTCCTCGATACTTTTGAAGGGCCCGTGCTCCTTGCGGTAGTCCACGATGCTGTTGGCGATCTTCTCGGTGACGCCGCGGATGCTCATGAGCTGCGCCGGCGTGGCGGTGTTGATGTTGATCTTGGTGGCGGACAGGTGGTGCTCGGAGGCCGGGTCCTTCCGCAGGGAGCTGGGCGAATGCTGCGCCGAGCTGCCCTTACTGCTCACGCAGATCTCGAACTTCACCTGCTCCAGCTTGGCCGCCCCCACCCCGCTCACCAGCGCCAAGTCCTCCACCTTCTTGAAGCCACCGATGTACTCGCGGTACTCCACGATGTTCTGGGCCACCACTCGGGTGACCCCGGGCAGAGTCATCAGCTCCTCCTCGGTGGCCGTGTTGATGTTGAGCCTCTCCTGGTTGACAAGGATGTTGCTGAAGTTGCACGCCGCGCTGAACTTGCGGCTGTGGCACAGGTCGGCAGGGTCCCGGGGGATGGAGCGGTGGCAGCCCAGGTTGCCCCCCATCTCACCGCCGCCGCACCAGGGCGCTGCCGGAGCCGGGGCGAGCCGAGAGCCCGGGCCTCATGGACCCCGCGGCGACCGCCGCTGCCTGGGGACAGAGCCAAAAGGCGCTCAGACAGCCCCTCAACAGCCCGTCCTCCCTCCTCCTCCGGGTACCACACGACGCTCCCCGGCCGTTCGCCGGACAGCGGGGAGAAGCGACCGGAACGCCCCGATTCCACTCCCGCCCCCAGCGCGCCGTGCCGCTCAGCCCCGCTCCGCTGCCGCCTCGGGCGCCCAGCGCCGCGCGCGCCCCGCCGGCGGGAGTTGTGGTTCGCTGCGAGCTCCCGCCCCTTGGCCGCCGGGCGGTGCCTGCCACACCGCACCGCCTCCCGGGGCGGGCCGAGCCCGTGCCCCGCATGGGGAGCCGAGCGACGCCGTGGCCAGGGCTGAGGGGCGTGCTAGAGGCCTGCGTGCCCCCGTACGCCCTGGGAGAGCGGCCGTGCCTCAGCCCGTTTCCCTAACTCGGCACCACCGTGCTGCCCCGAAATCCTTCTTGCGTACCGTCTGTGTGGCTGAGCTGGCTGCGAATAAACTCATTTTCTGCCTGTGCTGGTGAAGCTTTCTAATGCGCAGCCGGCTGCCGCGCTGTGCCCCGTGCTGTGCCGGCAGCAGAGCTGTAGCCAAGCGAGCTGGGCGGAATACTGCCCACACGGTATTGACTGCAATGTCAATGAATCCTACACATCGTCGGTGGGCGTAATGAAAAGCAAGGGGAGGAAAGCTGAAAGAAGGAGCGATGTGTGCTTGCAGATGCCAGCTATGCACCCCAGCACTGACAGTACATGTACATTTCTTTTACGCAGACAGAACACGGTGCGTGTTTTCAGTGTGAAGGCTCTGCATTGGTCCTCTCATTAAAATTAAGCTGCTTGCCACAGTGGCTTAAGCATGCATTTCCCGTGCTAAATTAATGAAAGTTGTCTGGGTTCACCTGAAATAAAGGGCTGAATTTGTGCAGCTTCTTGGATGAAGAGGAAGGGAATGTGACGTGAAGGAGGGAGCTGCACCAGGCATTTAGCTTGCACATGGGCACTGCAGCTTTGACATTTGCACTAGATATTCTGCTGCGGATCACACATTTCTCTTCTCTTCACCCGAGCAATAGAGTTAGCAAATCATCATTACCGGAATGGGTACTTGCTGCATTAGGGCATTGGCTCTTTGCTGACTGATGGAGCGGTGAAAGTGCTCGCTTAGGTGATTAAATGCTTCCCCGGCTGCTGGAAAGTGCTCTGTGCGCTGCGATAACACTGGCCAATGCAGCAGAAGTCATGCTGGGCCTAATTCTGCTGGGATGATACCAGCGCAGAGCTGGAAACAATTAACCACTCAAATGAGTATTCTTTGTGAGGCAATGTTATTACAGTAATAGCTCCGCAAGCTGTTCTCTCAGTGGAGAACAGAGTCTTCTGCATTCTACCATAGGTTGCTTAGAATTGATTTAGGCTCATTAAATAAGTTTTAAAGCTGAGAAGTGCCAAAATCCATTTGAGGTGTGCCCCGTGCCTGCAAGCAGCTCCAGGTTTTCTGCGTTTTGGAAAGAAGCAGAAGCATCTCCAGAAAGAAAATGACACTCACCACTTTTGTCCAGCACTTTCTATTGTCAGCAGCTACTTGGCATTTTTTGCAGCATGAAGTGCCAGGACACAGCTGCAGTGCTGATGATGAAGCGGAGCACAGAGTGGTGCAGTGGGTGTCCCATCACCCTGCTCTGAGTATGGTCCATGCTAACAGAGTGCAGCAGTCGGTAAGGGAAATTCAACTCCATTAGCCCTTTAGCCTGCTTCTTTTTGGCAATATTATGAACAGGAAAGTTGCAGGGAGTTTGCTGAACTCTGAGTCAACTTACGACACATTTTAGTACTTTCTGGGAAGTGTCAGAAGATGTGAAGATGTGCAGCTTTTGTCTATATTTTTTTAAAGGTTGAAAGAAAAGAGCTGAGTTGACTTGCTTGACATCAATGTTAGGCAACGCATTAGCATGAAAAAGCTAACCACCAGGTGCAGCCAGTAAATGACTGAAAAAACAATAGCAAAAATTACTGACAGCCATTGCAGGCAACAGAAAACAGCTCTTGTGAAATTCATCAGGTAGATGTTAGGGTTTATCTTCAACCCAATCGCAGGCTCAGTGATTGATCACAGCCTGCTGCTGCAGGCTGGCAGGGAGCCTCCTCATGTGACACCACTTCATGTGACAGGAGGCCACAGAGCTGGGTTTCCTGAACCTCCATCAGCCCAAACAGGTTGGAGGGCTCCAAAATGCCGTGGGTGGCTTATTCCTCAGGATCTGCAGCTTACTGCTGAGCTGAGCATCTGGCTGCTTGACAAGTCTGGATTAAAATCTTGTCAGTGCTGGCGAAATCACGTTCTGCTGCACTGAAGAAGCCAGGCTGATGAGCACCTTAGCAGGCTTCCATAGGGAGGGGAGATGGAAGGACACCTGCAAAAGGCCCTCTGTAGCAGCCATCACCCATTGCACACAGTGCTTTCACATATCACTGTACGGCATAGCAAAATCCATGGTAGAGCAGTGTCATATGCTTTCTGGCTCTGGGAATCTTCCCTAGTAGGAATGGTTCAAAGTGGAAAGAAATAAACAAACTGAACTTTTCATAAGAAGGAGGTTCTCCCATGCCTTCAAATGAAATGTTTAAGAATGACATGGAATTGCATAAGTCCCAAACAGTGAAGATATTGTTGGTGCAGATACCTCTGAGCAACGTCTATTGACTGTAGTCATGTAAAGAATCAGCCTAGAGGGCTCTACATTTTACAGTCTTGACTTCTCAGCATTTTAAGATGGCCTTAAAATCTGAGTCTTATCTTCACATTTTCCAAGATGCATTATTTATGTTGCAGAGGTGCTAAAACAATAAACTTTCATAAGGGACAGAAGGGGCCAGGAAGTGTTGCTCAATGCCTTCAGTCCTCAAGCAGCAGCTGCCATGTAATAACAGTGCCTTTTCCAGTTCTTGCTTGCACAGCCCTTGGGAGTCACAGGCATGGCACTTAGGAGCAATCACACATCACAGAACTCAAAGGAAAATCCCATGTGCTTGGCTGTTCCTGGGCTGTTCTCAGTAGATGTTGCTTGCATGTCTTCTTCTCAGAGAAAGAAAAGGTGACCAACAGAGGTGTGCTTACAGGAAGCCACCCAAAGAGTGTTTTTTCAGACCTGCTACACTGGGCTCTTAATGGGCAAGGACCTGAAGAGGAAACTGAATAACAGCAATGTTTGTGTTTTTATTAAAAGGAGCTATTAAAATAACTGGTTTCCTTCTGAGAGAATATCCTCAGAAACATTTGTAACAGGAGCCTGAGGCAGAAGGCAGTGTTACTAAGACAAGTAATAACAAGTAAGAGTTAGCAATTTCATGAGCAATGGAACTTCGGAAGTCTGATTTCTGATGGCTCTTTCCTCTGTTTATTTTCTGATGTAAAATATTAATGTCGAATATACATCAGTCTTTTTATGGCGTTGCTATCTCAGATGTCTCTGTTCTACTTGGCCATTAATTTTTGTAGCAACTGTAGGAACTTGGTATTTTGAGGCATTTGGCCTCTCTATCAAATTTGCTTGAAATAAGGCCATGTTCCAATAAAATCCCCGGGGAAGGGATGACAAGTAGAGTAGCAGAGAACATAGCCATAGCCACATGACTGTTGTTTTTTTATGAGTGCAATGTCTGTGGTGTGAGCTCTTTTTCTTGTAAGGCATTTTACATGGCTGCCAAATGTTGCAAAAAGATTAAGTGATGTCACGGATGCTGTGTTGCCAAGTTACGAGTGTCACATCCTCCAGAAATACTACACCAAAAGGGTGAGCAGAAGTGACTCATCTTTATGCCTTAGTTAGGCCTTCCTTTTGGTAGCTGTTGGGTCTGAAACCCAGATATCTCCCTCCCACAGGAGCTCTTAACCACTGGCCCACTATTTTCTTTCATTGGTGCACGGTGGAGCAGCTCATCCTGGAGGGAAGCAAGAGAAGGACACTTAGAGAGGTTCTCCTGTGGAGCTAGGAGATGTGATTTTCATTTTCCTTAGACAGCAGCGGAATTTGGCTCTCAATCCCCCAAATCTGAAGCAACGCTGCTAATGACTTGAATATTCCCTGAGTCACAGGACCAGAAAGGAATTCAAAATGTAGGCCTTCCTTTACCCCAGGCCAAATCACCGAGGTCATGTGCACAGAAGCTGGCTTGCTCTGGGCTTCCAGGAGTGACATCTCCTAAAGTTCCCCAGCAAGGGATACAGTAGGCCTGTATCACAACTAGTGTTTTCTTTGAGGCTCAGTAGGGCAGATCTCTTGTAAGAATGTCCATAAATCACCCTGCTGTGATTATGGCAGGGGAGGGAGTCAAAACTACTGAGTTGCGAGCTTGGTATCTCTGTTGTCACCCTGGGCAAGGTTTCAGTGGTTCCTCCCAGAATGGATTTTCATGAAAAAAATGTGGGCGAGATTGTATGCATCTCAAGAGCTAAGCATATTTAGTGCCAGAAATAATGATAAAAATTGAAGCTTATCTCCCAATCATTTTGTTAGTTCACTGAAGAAATTGTTTTGCATCATGTATTATTTATTCATTGCCTGTAGGTACTTGATTGCCTTCTACTAAATGAAGGCTTAAAACATTACCAGTAGTTTCCTTGCTAACAAATTTTTAAAATATGTTTAACAAAATCCATTTTATGTTCACTTTTGCCTTTTCAAAGAGATTCAAGAGCACTAGTCAGTCAACTCATACAAGCAGCTCCTTAACTGAAAGTGGTTCTGCAGCAATTGTAGCAGCCAATGCAATTCTGATTAACTTCTGCTATTTGGGGTGTTGGTTTTTTTCCGTTGGTAGGTGGGGTTTTTTAGTATAAAACCAGCTCAGTCTCTACATCTCTTTCTAGTTGTTCTTTAGATCCTGAAACTATTCACAGAGTCAAAACTTGGACACGGTTATCCTTATTTTCCTTATATGCAAGGAGCAGTCAGGTCTCCAAGTTGTTTGATTGTGCTAAGACTTGTTTCCTTCCTCTATCTCTACGTGTGTAAACTTCTGTTTGTTAAGAAGCAAAAATAACGAAAACAAAAAGCCCACGAAGTAGAATTATTTTTTTCCTTAGCCCCAGAGTCTCAGATGAGATCTGTAGAGGGCAAAGCCCAGTGCAAATCCATAGCTCTGCTCAGCATCAGGTCATTTGTTTATGAAACAGAAAATACATTGTGTAAGAGTTTTCATGCAAAACATAGCATCTTGCTTACATGAGTCTTTTCCATTCTCTGCACAGCTCCCTTGAGAAAATCTCTGTTGAGAAAGTCTCTCACTTTTCAAGTTCTGCACCAACAATTAAAATGGTTTCATGACTTCAGCCACTCCCAGCAGACTTTGAACTTCTCTGGGGAGCCTTTCAGACAAGCGACACCTAGCTGCCTGATCATTACAATGTCTTCTGTGTTTGATCTGACACCCATAGAGACAGAGGAATTATTCAAGATGGTGCTGTGCTGAGTTATGTCTGTGAACCCATGCTGTCGATAGAATTAACTGGTACAGTATTCCATCTGAAAGTCAGGCTTGTTCAAATGTAGACATAAAGGACTATATAGAGGTGTTCCTCTAGAATCAGCTCCTATAGGATGGCTGCTTAGAGAAGTCAGATGTGCTCAGGTCAGCAGCATCTGATGGAATTGGTGGCAGAGTGCATGTGGAACCAAGCTGAGCAATACTGAGTTACTAGGACAAGCAGGTCCCCAAGCACCTGGACTGGACAGTACTGATCAGGAAATAAAGGGCCTATTAAACCTAACCTAACCAGAGAAAGACTGTGGCATAAACAATCCTTTTAAGTACATGGAAGACCATTAGATTTAAATTAAAAAAAAACCATCAGGGTGGCTTCACAAGCCTCACTATTTTCTTTGATAGGTCAACTGACTTGAGGGACAGGACAGAAAATGACAGGGCGATGAAAGACAGTGTACTTACAAAGGTTGCAGGTGGCACCGAGCCGCAGAGCCTTCAAGGACTGAAGCAGGTGGGGTCAAGGCTCAAAGTAGTCTTCACAGGTGAGATGGATGTTCTGGAACTGACAAGAAGAGCTTTGGTAGAGGCCTACAGAAGAACAGTCCACGATATCTATATCCACAGATGCAGCAGGAGAGGCTCACAGTGTAAACAGGAATCATCAGTGTATCCTACTGGGTAGAGAACAAAGGCTGTTTCTAGCTGATCTCATTAAGTCTGCTGACATGATTAGGAAGATAGCTATGCAATGACATAATTACCACCAAAAATATGATGCTTAGAGCCACCATGCCAGAGAACTGGTGAATTGTAACTAGCTGCCAGATACTGTATCAGTCACAAAAAACATGCAGCTCCCCCAAAACAAATCCCGCAGCCCAGAAGATCTTGCTTCTTTAAGCCCAGATCCTAGTCCTTGCTTATGCCCAGTAATGTATTCTCTGGTGAGCAGCTTAACTGGGATCACAGGGACTGAGAAGTGCTGTTGAACATGAACAAAACTTCATGAATGTAGCCTGAGGTGAGGAGTTTGCTGACTAAATAAGGGCTTAAATTACATAGGACATCACAGCATTCTTTCTATAGTGCATGACACTACCAGAGAGGTTACGTGCACAACTCCAACCCTTTTCCTAGCCAAGAATTGTCTACTTCAGACAGTTTTTTCCAAAGTTTGAAGAGCTGTGAAAAAAGTCACCATTGCCATCGTACACTAGCTTTTGTGTGGGGTGCTTCTGTTGCTGGCATAATGCAGGACATTCATTCCTACTCACCTGGTACATTCTTAAGCATGGGTCAATATAAAAACCACACAGCAGATATAAGATAACTGTGATTTCTACACATTATTCTGAACGTTATGGGAATTAGGTTTTTCCTTGGACAGATTCTCAGACTTTGCTGTGGATCAAGAATGGCTCTGAGAACCTCCTGCTTTAAAAACAGTCTCACTACATAATGTGAAACTAGCTTTAAATGTATCTCCCAGGTGTCCCAGAGCACGCAGTTGATTAATTCTGATTTCACCCTGCAGAAAGCCATGTCACACACACACCCTTGCCACCTGGTACACTGGCCACATTCTTCCCCTGTTAGTCATGGAGAACGTCTGCCTTTAACTTACAGTTGCAGATAGTTATGTGCACGGGGTGCTCTTCCCATGATTCAGGAGTTCCTGTCTCCTGATGCTGCAAGGTGTGGAGTGTTCCTACCCTGTCACCTTCCCGGTGACCTCAGGGGATGCATGACTCCTAGGATAGGACAGGAGGAAGATTGGACACTCAGTAAGGATAATAAGCTCAGGGAAATGGCTGGGAGAGTGACTGTGCTTAAGGTGACTAAGGTTCCATCCCAGTGGTGCCAGTTGATGACTCGGACTGGATGAGATTTACCTATCGCACTGTTAGATCAACCAGGTATGAGTCACCCAAACTAAGCACACAGTTGCTGCTAGATGCAGTACAGCTTTCATGCTGCTCAGAGTGGGGAGTCTGATTCTCAGCGAACCCAGGTATCACTTGCTCTTTTGTTTCCTGCAGCTTTTTCCACTGCATGTCACTGTTCACAGGCGTTACTCCTAATAACACAGGATAGTAAGCTTTTAGACAGGCAGGTTAAAAGACAACTCAGTATGGTCTCCAGTAATTTTGGAGAACTTCACTACGGAGATTTTGTGTCAGCAGAGGCCTGCAGGTTCCCGATGGTTATTGACTCGGTTCCATGAGGTCTTTTGACCCAAGCCTGCCATTGCATGCTGTGTATGAGGATGAGCCATCTGCATTGCCCTCACTGAATCCAACTTTGTCTAGAATGAGTACATAGCTGGAGAGCTGCAGGCTGCCCAACATGAAAGGTATCAGCACACGGCCTTCATGGGGCATGGTTGAGATAGGCAGCCATGTATACTGACAGTTGGCAGAGACACTAAATGGCATCACATCAATTGATCTTGATACCATGTGGCTTTCAGAGGGGTAATTCTGCTGAAGTCAAGCACTCAGTGGCTCTTGCTATCCTTGCAGTAGATTGAAGAGAAATGGGGAGGGAGTTTTGCTCTGTCTGTATTCTTTTGTCCTCATTGCTTTAAATAAGGTGACACAAATTTTCCAGTTCCCTTTGGATTTAAGCTGGTAATTGTATAAGGCACAATGATGATTCTGTATCACAGGAACAAACGATGAAAGAACTGTTAGAAAAGAAATCCCTCAGAGCAGGAAAGGTGCTATAGTTTCCCTTTTCTTAAGCTTGGAATTTAGTTTGGTTTTGCCAAAGCAGAAGTCCTGGCATGAGTAATTTGGGGTACTCTGCCCTGTAGAAACATTTCACCAGCTTACTGAAGGGTATTAAGACCTAGGTGAAAACTCAGAGACGAGTTCCCTCAAGTGTCTGCAAGTTCCTCAGTAGCACCAGGTGCATTCTTCCCTTTGGATTTCAGGAAAAGTTAGATTCCAAGGAAATCAGATCAGGCTTGGTGCATGGAATCAAAAAGGCAGGACAAGAACTGATCTTACCTTAAATCAAACAAAAGTCGAGAAAACAACTAAATAGCAGCAACAGAACAATGGCCACTTGCATAAAGACCAACATAGGAGTCTCTCCCGTTCTCTGGGAATTTCCCAGTACATTCTTTAACACACGTTTTTAAATTAAATTGTCCAACAAAATTGCATCAAGTTGTTTGACTTTCTAGAATGGAACATTCAAAAGAAGTTAACTGTAATCTCAATTTAAATGTTGAATTAAACCTTAAAAGAATTCTTAAGAAAAAGGTGTATCTCAACAAAATTTACTCTACAGTCTATGTAATTTACCTCTTGCTGAAAGTGTCAGACAGCAAAGGCAAGCAGTTGTGCCAAGATCACTGTTAAAAAAAAAAAAAAAAGCAAACAAAACAACAACAACAAAGGTCTTTTAAGGATTTTTTTTTCCTTTCAAGCTTGAAAATCTTGAATATTTGACTAATCTAAGCTGTTAAGGGAACCATCTATTAAAATAAAAAGCATCTGAGAAGGGATTCACCTCACCTTTCTGTGTCACTTTGTAGGACCAGATAATGCTTACATATTTCAGTCTTTGGATTAAGCACAGGAGCTGTTCACAGATAAGATACGCAGCTCTCTTCACGCTGTCTCCTAAATTGCCCATGGCTTCCATTTACAAATCCATGTGTTATATGATGGTGTCACAAAAGGATCCTATTCAGGCCTACTGAGCAGCATTTAAGATCTAGTACCACGTTATCCAGGCATTTTTTTTCTTTGCTTCCCATCTTCCGTGCCACCTACTTGCCTTTCTCTTGACATCCACTCCTGCTCTTTATTCCTGTGCTCTTTACAGCTCCTTGTCTCTTGGATGTATCAGTGGCAGCAAATGAGCAGGAATGGCTGAAAGGGATGAGAGAGAGGAAGCATCAGATGGTGGAACAGCGGTTTCTCTCAGCACTCCTCAACTGCTCATGGTCATCTTGCTGAAGGATGTCTTTGCTTTAACTGGGATTCTTTGTGATCTCCCTGAGTTATTCTACAGTTTGTTAGATGGTGATCTTGGACTTGTTGCCTTGGTACAGCTCTTAGTGAGCTGAAGCCAGCCCCGCTGTGAGAAGCCAATAAAGGACTGGGTGGAGTAGAGCTGGTAGTTTCATTTCCCTTGGCAGATGTGTGGGGATTACTATCCCACTTTAAGCTGGTTAACTATCTTCCACTTGTCTATTTTTGATAGTTGAAGAAAATAGATAATCTAAACTGGATTAAAAAATAAAAAAGTAAAAAATTCCTATTTGTCTTCTGTCTGCTCTCAGATAAGTGAGGTGGGATCTTTTGGTTTTTTCCCCTTTCCTTTCTTTCTGGTTCTGCAGAAATCAAGATAGTGGTCTGTCAGTAGCACACAAGTAAATCTACAAAATCTGAGTCAAAGCTCTTTGGAGATGGAACAGCAGAGAGAGCCCCTAGACAAAGAGAGGATTTGATCCTTCTGCCAGCAACATCAGAGTTTATATTCTGCATGATACATGGGGTTAATCACAGAGAGACTGATTGACTGGCTATTTTATTTTTCTTTTTTTGCCAAACAGGGAGAAGTTTGATCAATTCAGAACAGTAGAAACAAAAGAACGCAAAAGAATTATTAATCTTGTGGATGGAATCTTATTTTCTAATGCAAAGAGCGAGCTTTAAATGCAGCAAGTTGAAACAATAAAATATTTCTTCTGCAAAAAAATTGAGGGTTTTTTGTTTGGTTGGTTGGTTGGTTTTGCTTTTGTTGGCTTTGTTATTGATGTTATTTTATTGTTATGATTGCTATGGGAAGGGATGTGTGTGCTTAAGAGTCCAAATGATTTTAGTAGGATTCATCTCCAGTCATCTGTTTTGTAAGAAATACTATCCTTGACAACAAGAATGTTTTCCCTTAACTTACTTTTGTCCTTACTTTAAGGACAGAACACAGATACTGTGGTGGGCTCACAGTCATTGCACAGTATATTACATTAACACAAGTAGTGACTATTGCTTCTGTTTCAGGAGATGGACATTTTTGCCATTCAGAAGCACGGAGTATAAAGAAATGTAAGACAAGTAAATCTCCATTCCCACAGTGAAGAGCATCTGCCATCACTCAGAAGAAACACTAAAGCTAAACACTAAAACAGAAGAAACACTCAAACACTAAAATTACATTAAAATTCTGCTCCACACTGGATGAAACTGAATTCTTCCTAGCTTGCAGTTACTATGCTTGGTAGCATCTGTATTAAATAATTAAATTAGGACTAATTGCACTGATAGGATATCCTTGTGATACAATACATCACTCTGGACAGGTTTTCAGCTTTAAAGTGTCCACTATTTGTTCCATAACAGTGCTCTTCTGCATTTTCCTATCTGCATTACAGGCTGGGTACACATGGACTGGTTCCTTTTGCAAACAGACATTCTAAAACTTGAGAAGCTGAAGGAAAAGAAGTAAACTCCCACACTTCTGTGAGGCTTTCTGAGCATGAAAAATGCATGCTGTGTTTGTTAGAGGCTGAAGTCACATTAGCATTTAATTACATTAACATTTAACGCCTAAAAATGTCAGGAAAATGCTGAGAAAAAAGAATTTCAGAACTCAGACAGATCCAAAGCACGCACGTTTAAATGCCTGACTTGGATTCCTGATGAAGAACCGTTTCCACTTTTCTTGCCGTGCAGTAAACAAAAATCTAGTGCGTTCCATCCTAAATGCCCCACCACCAGCTTTCTTAACAAGCCAAGGTGAATCAGATTGAACTGCTCTTTCCAGTGGTTTTTGGTCTTTGGAATGTTATTCGACAGTGAAAATTGCAATGGAAGTAACTCGTTTTTCTGAGGTCTCAGAACTGTCAGACACTCTCCATTTACCCTTAGCACCCACCTGAGCAGGAGCTACAGGATTTTGTGTGGAGGACAGATTCAGGCCTGGTGTAGCAGCTTTCATCATGCCTTCTCTTCTCAGAGAAGCTGTGTGTGCTTGGCACCTTGGTTCTTCAAGCCACCTAGCAATTATTATTATTATTCTACTCTCAAATCTGAGTGAAGTTATCTACAAAGTGTAAGCTCTACCAAATGCACTCTGTAAGTCACCAGAAATCAGTGCAGCCCTAGAACATTCTGTAGAAGACCCAGTGTTCCTTGGGAAATGCTGGTCCAGAGATATGTTGCTGTAACTTTGGGAACTTGCTCATAGGAAAACACATAAAGATAGTAAACACTCCAGCCTTTGTCTCTTCACTGCAGCACTCAGCCCATTGCTTCTGTAGTGACACTTCAGGCATTAGAACTACTGCAGAGTATTGCGGTGTTTCTATGCTGGAGAGATTTCAGGTTTTCGGTTAGTTCACTTAAGAAATTATTTGATGGTAATGGATATTAAGGAAACTAAAGGGCCTGGAAGATTTGAGAATAAATGTTTTTTCTGTGTGGGGCTAAGGAGTTTATAGTTTTCATGAGCCTTCTCTCTGCACAGAAAGCCCAGGAAGCACTGATTGCAGAGCTGAGCAGTGACCAGAGGACTGAGGCATATGGAGCAGAGGAAGATGGATCTCTGGTAAGGGCCAGAGAGGTCTCTGTTGTTTACAGAAAGCATGCCATCTCCTCTTTTTTTTTCCCAAAAGCAAGATTCATACCCACTGCATACATCCCCTGTACTTCCAGGAAAGGATGTGCAGGAAGCAAATCCTTTGGAAAGATAAAAATGAAGGTATTTCTCTAAAAACTGATGATCCTGGGTCATGGAACAAAATGCAGGTTCTTGCACTGCTATACTATTCAAAGGAGCAGATGTGAGCCACAGTAAAATAACAGTGTAGGATTGGGCATCATCTGCTGGGGTCCCCACCACCACCACCGTTTCTTTCTAATCAAAGCACCTAGAATCATTACAGAAGTCTTTCTTTGTAGCACCTTAGTTACAGCTGGGAGTGTCATTAGCTTCTTTTTCAAACTGAAAACCTAGAGAATAAAATGAAGTGCCTGGACACAGAGCCTGAAATGTCTCAGGCTTTTCCCTTAGCCCTGGAACTACTCCATTGCATATGTTATGTGCAGAAGATGCTGTAAAGTCAAGCCAGACAGGAGAGAAAATGTTGAGAACTATTTGTTTTGAGATACATCATCCAGACACTGCATTTATTCTGCGTGCATCAAAGAAAATATTTTTCTCCTTCACCACCCTCCCCTGCTTGCTCTCGGATTTTTCAAAGCAATATCCACAAATTGGAATTTCTGCATGGACATGAAAACAAAACATTACTGCAATAGCTTTTGACATGGGCATGTACTGCGTTTGAATAATTGCTCACAATTTTATTTCCAAACCATGAAATCTTCACCACCTGACTCTTGGATTAATATATTAACAAGATAAAGCTATATACCGTAAGGCTTCTCAGATAAAAAGCTTAGCTATGAGAAGGCTTCTTAGTAACTTTTTTTTATCCTTGACTATGTCAGAGCAAATTGTAGCATCAAACTCTTCAGCTAAAACCTCTATTCAGTATTTGCTTCTTAACAAACAGGATAATATTCTTTTTATTTTGGAGTTTAATTTTAGATGAGGTGACGCAACAGAATTGAGAGCAGGCACTGGATAATGGTGTCCTGCTGTGTGATAAACGACTGACTAATGCAGAGGCAATTAAAATAGGAATACCTCCCTGGAAGTTGGCACCCTATAGCCCCATGACGAAGGGGAACCAAGCAACCAACAGCTTCAGCTATGTTTGTTCATGCAGTACGCTGCTCACACATAGCCATGCTGCAGAGCCTGAAGGAAAACAATCCACATGAGGAGAAATCCGGTCTATTTCTTCCACACAGAGGGGCCTTCCATACAGCAGCCTCCCCTTCTCCATCTATGAAGTCACTCTAGATCACAGAGTGCATCCAGCTAAACTGAAAGACTTTGTCCTAGATGGGACATAACTCTCCATGCAATAATGCTTTTAAACATCTGCTTATCTTGCAGCATGTGCTTACTTTCAGTGGCTTCACTGGCTTTGTGGTCCTATGTGCACAATTATGATGTGGGGTTTTTTTTGCTGCAGCAAGTTCTCTTTCATCTTTTAAGCCCACCAATGCATGCAACAGTTACTGCAGCATCCTCTAGAAGAAATGGTCTAAGCCACAGCTATGAAGAGCAGTAAGAACTGTCAGACGTATGGATTAAAATAAATAGATAATTGGCCATGATAGAGCAGGAAAAATAGGAAAATGCTAAATCTCTTCCAAGTTTAGATTGCAGGGCAGGAGGGGCATTTGGCAAAGCCTGTTTTGGAAACACATGCAGGCAAAGAGCTGAGATACCCCTGACTCCTAGTTTCATCTCTGTCAGCTAAGGTGTCATGTAGTCTCAACTGTGACAGCTTTTAAGTTATCTCACCAAGGCACTGTAATTAGTCATAAAACAGAGCATTATAATTCATTCTGTCAAAGCTATTTTTGTTCACTTGGAGCTGTTGTTACAGACTGACATAATTGGACAATAGGTGCAATGAGCCTCTGTTGTGATATTATCTTCACAAAGCTAGGGACTTTGTTGTAGGAGAGGGTGAAATACAGGGTTCTGCCGAGCAGCATGGCATGGAGAAAGCCTGCCTAACCTGGGGAAACCAGAAGGCCATGGTCTTCTGTCTGGTAAGCCCGTACCAATCCCCCTAATGCTGCCTCACTGTAAGGCTGGCACAGAATCAGAGCCAAGGACTGCAGTGATGCTCCATGCCGTTTCCCAGAATCCAGTTCTAGACAGAAAGCATGGGCAATATATGGAGAAGAGGGGAAAAAAGTAAAAGGGGAAGAACTTTCTGAGCTAAATGTTCACCTTTTGGATAAGCTAGTGCCGTAGGCAACTGTACTCCATACTCCTTATATTCCATACTCCTTCTTATGGTTCCACCTGACCGTACTCAGCAACGCAGTCTCATGGGGCATCAGATATCAGCACAATGGGTTGCAGTCACCTATTTACCTTGTCACCAAAGGAGAAGCTATAAAATCTACCATCTTCACTTATCTTTGGTGAGCCAAGCAATATCCGAAGCGAACAAGAGGTATTCTGAATGTCATCATTGTCAATGTGCTCTAATAGGAACTCTTCCATAGTGCTTCCCATCTTCCTGACTTGTGTTGCCCTCACTGTGGGAATCAGTAACGTGCAGCCTCATTTCATCTCATGGACAGCTCTGTCAGGGAGATGAACCTCTGTGGCCACACAGGGCTACAAAACTCTGGTGCCAGGCACACTGTTCTCTGTCTTAGCAAAGCAGCGCCTACGCAGCCATGAGACAACCAAAACAAAATGAGACATTTACCTCCTCCTGATTTCAGCCTGATTTGTACTAAAAATCTTCTGCAAACTGTTCCTAGCTTTGCTCTCAGAAACTGCTCGCAAGCAGTTGACAGCTGAGGCTTAAAAGCTACACTGATTAGAGATGGCTTCGGCTGAGCTGGAAAACCTGATGCTTAAAAAAAGCCAGCCAGCATCTAGCATCCCATGTTATTAGATGTTTTCCCATAGCACTTAATGAGCTGGCACAGTGCTGGCTGTCGGTGGGAGCTCCTCATCTTGCTGAGATTGCCTCACGAGCTGCTCTGGGCAAAGACAGCTGCTCTGCCATCCATCCTGCTGCAGTTAGCCCTGCCTGGGAACAGCAGAGGCTGTTATCATGCAAGTAAGGAAAAAAACGCGCTGTGCTTCTGACACCAGGAGAACTCATTGCCCTGCAGTAAACAAGGCAGTGATAATGCTTGCAGCCCTAATGGGGACTCCTGAAATGTCAGTGCTGGTAGCTGCCCTTTTCTCTGCCGACAGGATAGTTAGCCCCCGGGCAGGAAACAAATGACTTGAGGTGCTCCATCTGACAGCCACTGAGCTCCTCATTAGAAGGCTCAGCATCTCCAGGTAGGGTTTTTAAGCAGCTTGGTGTTGAACAGCAAGCTGCTAAGAAGCTCCTGTGTGGCACGCAGTGCCTCTTCCTTAAGGGAAGCTTCTCCTTTAAATGCTTCCAAATCCCCGGCAAATAATGGTTTCCATCCTCAGTGCTTAGCTGTACTGTTTGGAGCTGAGTAGTTTTCCTGTATTTATAGATAGCCACTTTGTTTTTCAATTATTTTAAGTATTTTCAGGAAAGGGAAGGAAAACCTGGGAATATTGCAATTGCCTGTCTGCCCTCATTAGCCAAGTAATTATCTCACTGTAATTCAATTGTTTCTTGTACAAGCAATAGCTTACAAAGTTCCTCTTTCTGTTCTTTTTGCTTCTTTCTCCAGAGCTATTCATCCCTGCCTCTGTATCACTCCTCCCTCCTAGCTACGGCGTACATCTTGGGGTCTTTACTGCTGTGCACTGAATTAGAGCTAACAATATTTTTCTTCTCTTTTTTTTTTTCGTTTTTAAACCCAGTTCAGCTGACATTTCTCATGGTGGGTACACGGCAGAAGCTAAATGAGATTTATCTTGTTTTATTCAAGTTAATAAAACCTGCAAACATGGTGTGACCTGTTACTGAAACTAGGATACTTTAAAATCCACATCTGTGAATGCTCAAGATTGCATTAAAGCAAATGCTTTGAACTACATGCCAGTTTTTGGTGCTCTTTACTACAGCAGTGGAGTTTGGAGGCATAAATGTAGATCCCAGGCGTACAAGCCTTCCATTATGGGTAGGAATGGCAAAAAGTATTCATGTAAATTTGAGGTTCTCAAAAAAGACCAGCTTTCTTCTGCTTGGACCTTAAGTGCACCCGCTGGGCAAGTGAGCAGATAACCAGCTCTGCCCAGCAGGCATATAATATTTTGGGGCTGAAAGCATCCTATATTCTTCATGGCTTTGCCATGGCCGAGGGCTCTTGTTCACTTTGGATTTCCCATAGTATCCCAGGCTTACTCCTAGGGTGCACCATGAGGCCCTGTGAGTGGTCCCCAAGAGATAGCAGCTCCAGGAAGAGAACGCTGTGGGTGCATCTTACCATCCTATCTGACACTCCTTTCACTGACAGATGCAAGAACAGAACTGTGTTGAAAAAAGCCAACTTGAGTCTGCTACTACATTCAGTCAGGTAATAACCCAGTCATGAAGGAAGGGAATATTTTAATACAGATTCAGTGTCAACTTTGTCAATGCTATTTCCTCAGCCAGCATATGTTGAACTGAACAGTTTTAAAATTGTATTTTAGCTTAATTGTAAAACTAAAATGATTAACACTCCTGCTCTTTGATGGATTTCAGAGCTCAAAGAGCTCTCCTCACTGGGGAGAGAGCTGTACATTTCTGCTCCTCCTGAAACACCTACCCTCACTTATACCTTGCCAAAGGAACAACATGGAGCTGCAGGCCTTCTGCAACAATTTCCTTCACTTATTTCCATTTATTTTTATTAGTTTTCCACTTTTTCAATAAAACAGTACCTACCTCCCCTCTTTTGCGCCAAAGTCTCCATGTTCAGGTCCATGGCACTTAAGTTACCCTTCAGTGACCTTCTCTGTGCATTCCTGATTCCACCACAACTGCAAGATGCTGGGAGTGAACCTGCAACAGCTGACATGTTGCCGTGAAGTGTCAATAAAAGCACATGGAGCAACAGGGCCAGGGAGTTAATTCCAGTATGGGGAAACCAGTTCTGGCTTTACCAAGACTAAACACCTGCAAGGAGCATCAGTTAATCATGATAATCAGCGTTGCCTTTCTCAGAGAAGCTGGGATGTTTTGGAAATGACACAAGAGGAAACATTGCCTGACCTCATTAATGTGTCCCAGAGTGGAATAACAAGCAATTGAGTTGCTGAACAAGGCTTTCTGATTTACCAAGTTGTGACTTGCCTTAACTCCCATAAACACTCCAAATCCCAGGAGGTGGGGGAGAAGAGGAGGAGGAAAAGAAGAAACGAGTAGGGGGGGAAGAAGGCTCTCAAGGACCAAGATTAATTAATTATTGGTTTACTATAATCCGTTTCAGTGACAAATCTTCCATCAGCCTCCCTCTCCCCTGAGACTTTTCTGGGGGCTCTTTTTAACTCTCATCATAATTCTGAGCTGGAAACTTATGTCCTTGCAGGCAGTGTTACCAGACCCAGCATGTGGAATAGGTGACATGGGAAAAGAAATGGTCCAGGCTTGGGGAGGGTGAGCCACAAAGAGGGATGACCAAAGCAGAGTGGAGATGCCTTCTTAAAAGAATATTTGGAACTTACCAGGACCCTCTGAGGTGGCCTCAGCCCTATGTCCTCAGCCCTGTGCATCTGCGACCAACATCGAAGCCATGGGCTGTTCCCATCAGTGTTCACATCTTGTTGCATTATATGTCTGCATTGCTTCTTCTGCAACGAAGCTCTCCTTGGTGCTTCACAGTTTCTTAAGGAAAATGCTGGACCTTGGTAGTGTATTGCCATTGTTTTGACACTGCGTTTGCAGGAAGAGTTAATATCCAGTTGGGAACAGCTTATCTTGCAAAGGAACAAGAGGGGCATAAGTCCTTGACTGTAGGAATCAGTGCCGTTCAGCTCTTTGCACTGAGCCCTGCCTTGGCAGCAGTGAAGGACATTATTCTTCATGTTCCAAAATCGCTGAAGTTGCCTTTGTTTGCAGCTTTTCCTTCCTGCTCGGTGACAAGAAGACCTGCAGAAGAAAAAACTGGTTCCACGGCAGCATCCCGTGCCTTTGAAGCAGGAAGAGCTGCTTTTGCCCATCTGCCACTGGAGACTTTTAGAATGACCTTGGCTTGTGGGGGGGTGACAGCCATTCAGACCCAGCTGCCTGCTTTGTTACAGCAATGTCTTTTCCAGATTTATTGCAACGAAAGTGGAGACATCCAGCATGGCATCCTTCCTAAAGGGTTTGTGACTACAGTGAAATCCCCAGCAGTGGGATGGCTGCTGGTTTCCCTATGGTTGGACTGAATCCATTTAACACGTCCCCAGTTCTCTTTCCGGACCTGCAAACACAAATCATCTCCAACAGGAGCCTGTAGCATTTGCTGCATGTCCAGCAGTGCTGTACAGCAACAGGATTATCCTATGGGAATAGCTGAACTTGTCTGACCTAAATTCAAATCCCTTCAGATACTATAAACTGAAAGTTCACCTCAGCTTCATGCATTTCTCTGTGCAATGAGAAAACAAAGTAAAGAGAAGGCACAAAATCCAGGGGAAAGTGTTACTCAGCCCATGAAGGAAACCAGATGAAAGTGATCCTGAAAGTAGAAGCCAAGAGCGGTAAAAGAAACTTTCTAACAAAACCATAATAATCTGTGCTTCGTGAAGAGCATATATGGGCTCCCAGAAGGAAAAGGAAAGGTCATTTTATCCCTGTATCATCATCTGTCTTCAAATTAGAATGTGTTCTCATTGCAGATTAATGGGCCACCATAGAAACCATAAAATAAAACAATGTGAAAGATAAGCAGATTTGTAAACCTCTTCAAAAAGTATTTTGAGCAGTTCGTAAAGCCCTGTGTTCCTACCAGGATTTGGGAAGGCCGCATCAGATGAAGACGGGCTATTGCTGCGGAAGGCTTTCTCCTTTCTTTTATATTTTAGTCAATATTCCTGACACTATTCCCCAGCAGCATTCCTGGCTGCTTCCCTATCGGGTGCTGGCATAGAGCAGCCCTGGCTGCACACCCGCTCTCAGGTCACAGCTAACATGTGCACAGCTTTCCATCTGTACTGGGTTTTGCAGGTGGAAAGCTGAACAACGTCAAACGACTTGCTAAAGCTACACAGCTGGTCAGGGATAGATCTGGATATCAAATCCAAGGCTTTTGAGGTCTGGATAAATGCTTTTTGATCCTAAATGTAAGTGTCTGAAGAGGCAAAAACAAAATCAGGATTTCCTACAGGCTAGAGTCCCAATGTAAAATTTTCTTTTACATTTGAATTCAGCAGAAACAGTTTGGATCAGTGAAACTGAGAGATAGGGAGATATTGCTGAGCAGAAGGAACTGGCCAAAATGGAAGTGCTAGCTTTGACAGATGGAACTCATACGGTATTCAAGAGTAAAGTCAAGTCCTGGCTGTCTTCTTCCAGTACCTGAAAGGGTACGGGAAAGATGGAGAGGGACCTTTGATAAGGGCATGTAGTGACAGGATGAGGGGAAATGGTTTTGAACTGGAAGAGAGTAGATTTAGACTACATATTGGAAAGAAATTTTCTTTATTGTGAGGATGGTCAGATACTGGGACAGGTTGTCTAAAGAGGCTGTGGATGCCCTCTCCCTGGAAGCATTCAAGGCCAGGCTGGATGGGGCTTCAAGCAACCTGGTCTAGTGGGAGATGACCCTGCCTACAGCGGGGGGGTTGGAACCATGTGGTCTGAAAGGGCCCTTCCAACCCAAATCATTCTAAGATTCTACGGTTCTATGATTCTTCCAGGGCCCAGGTAGGAGCAGAGCAGTTTCGGGGCCTTCGCTGTTCACCAGCTCCTGCTTATGGCTGGCAAAGAGGCCTGCATTTGAAGAAATACACTTCTGAACATTTTTACTTCTGGAATTTTCATCCTTTTGGGACACTCTCCCTGAGTCCAAGATGTGTTTATGAAGTGGCCTTTTTCTCGGTATTGGATTTCACTGTCTGCTCTCATCTTCCTCAAAGACCTCGGGAAGGAACCAATTCATTATGAGCACTTATTCCCCATGGGTCTCTCAGCACCAGGTCAAGCTGGTGCTGCCTCACTTGACATTTCTGATTTTATCTTCTGAACTGCTAAGAGAGCATATCAGCTTCCTGATTCATGACGGATTGGGCAAATTCCATCACCTTTTCTTACTTAACTGGGGGACAGCAAAGGCCATCTGGGCTTTGAGGTCAGGCTCAGAATTGGAGGCAGGACGAATGTGAAATCCCACCAAAATCTTACACTGGATGGCTTTCTACAGCTCGTTTGACTTGCACCGTTTCCTGGACCAGCCCCTGAAATCTGCCTCACATAACTGAGTTCTTTCTAGGGAGAAGTTAATATTTTTAAAGAAGAGCCCACGGTGCCCTGGGGAGGGCTTAGTCTCGACACTGCGGTGTATGTAAAAGTTGGGTGTGTAAAAATACAACTAGCAAAGAAATGATAATGTCATCACTTCTGGGTCTACCGCAGCTTAGGAGAAAGCAGCCAGTGTGGTCTGTTGGGGAGGACCAACCCTGCAGCACGCAGTGGCATCTGGGACCGTGTAGTGACAGAGCCAAGCACAGGCTAATGAGCCCATTAGCTTTCGGTGGTTCCCTGGATCCTCTCCTTATAGGATGAGAGCTGCAGAGAAATGTGCTCATTCTGTACAAAGATAGCCATTAAATTCCCATTTAAGAACTTCTTCTGGGGTAATTCAGCATTATCTGTAAACGTGGAATACTGACTTTGTGAATATTTTACAATTTCTATTAGTCATTTACATTTTTAGAAACGGAGGCCATAAAAGATTTAAGTCATTTTGCTTCAGTTCTGCCACAAAAGAGATCTTTTTCTCTAGGTTACATTTCATTAAAGTCTTGTACATCTAATGAAAGGAACTGGAGTGAAGATGAAACAGAGATCTGCCTGTCTCTAGTGCTTTGCCAAAATACAGGTGTGTACCTGAGTGTATACAGTTTCATTAGGAAAACAGAAAATTCTCTTCTCTAGATCTCCTCTCAGTGCTGATTGCCCTAAATGTCCTCCTTTTCACTCATTTTGTTCCCCTAGGGCTTATTCTTTTCCTTCATGAAAACACACCTTCCAATTTGAAGTCATACATTTGCACACAATTATGTATAAAACCCTAGTTTTTCTAATGCACATGTATCCCTGCACCATACATTTTCACTGCCTTGGGCATGTTGCAGCACAAGGACAACAAGGAGGATGCTTCTATTCCTGACAGAGAGCAACAGGAATGAAAAGGGCAGGAGGACAGGACAGGGCACATGGTGCAGCAGGCACTCCTTGAGCTGAATACAGACTGTGAGCCACCTCCTGTCTGCTTCATGGGTAGCCCGTGGTATTCCAGTGGCCAGATATAACCCCATAGCCTGATGCTGGGCTGCTCCTTCTGCTCCAGGCCTGGAGATGGAGCTTAGCTCTGATCACAAGGATGACCCATTGCCATCGGTGTTTGGGACAGTTGTGGTGAATAAGGTGCTCTGAAAACTTCAAGCAGAACTAAGAAATAAGGCTGACTTATTTCTCACTTTGAGCACACAGCTCACTGCAATACCCTCAGCAACAGAAGATTCCTCTACATTTCATCAGATAAAATAAACTCACTGTGTGAGTTCACAGGCAGAAGATTCTCATGTTTGCTCCCAGCTTTTGGGCAAACCAGACAGATCTTTAGCATCATGCAGGTCCTATTCAAAAAGTATTACTCACATTTTAAAATAATTTATGAGGGAGTTGGAAAGCATGTTGCTGACATTTTTTCAGCTGGTAATCTGCTAAATGGGATGTTATTTCTTTTTTTTTTTTCCCCAAAGATATTCTTCTGTAACTAGCATTTGGCTGCTCAGAGGTTTGGGGTTGCTAATGTTGTGTGTCATCCCTGTGCTCAAAGTCATCTCAAGCACAGTAGGTGTCATGAGATCAGCATGGACCTGGCCTCATTAGCTGCACCTCTTATTGACAGATTGACATTCTCCCAACATACACTGCTACTTTTCTCACCAGTGTTTCGTTTCCTGAGTATTTAGAGTGTGGCAGGTCGCAGTGAGAGCAGAAAACCTGATTTCTAAGAAGGAGGAGGAAAAAGTGACCAAAGTTTTCCCAAAATTCACTAAGTGCAGATTTGAGAATGGGCTCGGCACAAAAAGTGCTGGTGGGACTCCTGTTCAGGAGGCAAGAGGACAGTTTCAGATAGTGACTCATGGAGGTTCTGGCTGCTTTTGACAGCATTTAGCTGTGTGCCATTGGTGCTCCAGAGTTCCACATCCATCCAGCTGGCCCATAGATTGTGAGTGAAATTTGGGAGCTCTTAGATTTCATACCCCGGCTGCTCAAAAACGCAGAGCAGTTGCATGCAGGAACCCATTAGGTCGTTTTTTCCCCTGTAATGTTATTGCTCACAGCTGTTGGAAGTGCACACGCTCTGGTTTCCAAATATAGGCAATATGCATTCACTGTATAGCTCCCACCACACTCCCATTTTTCCACAGCTTGCTTTATATCCTCCAGACCCTCATTCTTCCCTGAGCTTTGTATTAATTTCTAAAACAGACTGGAAGACCTGGGAGGCCTGTGATGGAAAGTCAGCAGTTTCTCAGCTCAGCAAATATAAGGTGAAGGAATTCTTCAAGCAATGCTGGTTATACCTCTGAAGTGCTCTCATTCCTCTTGTTTGACATTCATGGTCGAAGGAAAAATTTGAACGCAGGGACAAAGGGAAATGAGAAAAAATCATTGCATTATAAATCTCTACTGGTTCTGCCCAATCTGGCTGGACCTTTTCTTCTTAAAAACCCTTTACAGCTTACACAGTTTTAAAGGGAATCTCACCCACAAACCACACAATTACAGTTTCAGTTAAGACTCACAATCATCCTTCAGACCTTAACCTCCTGATGCAACTACAGGTAACACAGACAGCACAGAGATACAGGCAGATCACCATTTCCAGCCACGCATCTGTCCGTGCTGCACATCCAGGGACCATTCTCAGAGGCGTGCTGCTATGAGGAAAACACAACGCCAGAAATGACTTTTCTATGGAGTCACTTTGAGTGAGTTCCCATGGCAGATCTTAGAGTACAACACTGCAGCCAGACAAGAAGCTGGAAAAGTAACTCCAATCTTTTGCTGGCAATGTGATGGGATAAATGCTGTGAGATCCTCCCCATAGCCATGGGTAGCTTTGTCTACTCTTTTCCTGCTCTCCTTTGCACATTTTTGTAGATGAGAACAATTCCTTACTGCACAGGTGTCAGAGCACCAGTGCAAGCTGCCACCAGGCTATGGAGAC